GGCTTGAGGGCTGGAGCCTGTCAACCCTTTCAAGCGGGGAGGTTAAAACCCCACCAGCCCCTTGGCCCCTCCCGAAATCCCTCGGGCTCACCTGACAATGTTCTTGTGTTTCAACTCCTTCAGCAAGCAGATCTCCCGCAGGGCTGAGCTGGGAACGCCCTGGAAGATTGGGGGGTGTGGGGGTTAGAAAGCATGACACCCTTGTTCCCCAAAAGTCCCCCTCCCTCCAATCCCCACGAGGGAAACAAGGTGGGTGGGTGAGCAGGAACCCCGGACGCCCAAGCAGAGCGGGCTGCTTTTATACCACCCCAGAGCAGTTTAACCCCTTCATGGATTGCTGCCTTGTCATGGCACAGGGGCTTGAGTAACTCAGAGAAGCTATGGGCTATGCCGTGCAGGGACACCCAAAATGGACAGGATATAGTGGAGAGTTCCGACTAAACGCAATCCACCTGGAGTAGGAAATGGCAATGCCACTCCAGTATCTTTGCCAAGAATACCCCATGATCAGAAACAAATCTTATCATGCACATATAATGAAAATAAAGACCTGGCCACAAAGGGCAATATTGCTGTTAAGAGTTGTGGGGCAGTAGGAAAAGTGAAAGGCCTAATGTGAGATAGATTGACTCAGTAAAGAAAACAGGCTTTGTTAGTTTCCAAGACCTGAGCAGAACTTATTCAAAAAGACAATATTGCTAGGAAGCAAGGCAACAGGGAGAGATAACAACCAAATATGAGATGTTGTTGGTTTGCAGAATCTGAGCAGAGCTATTAATGATAGGACATTTTGGAAGCAATTAAATCATATAGTCACCAAACATCAGAAGTGACTTGGTGTCAAGTAAAACTTTTTGAGTTTTTTTAACTTCATTACCAGAAAATTGTATAATGACAAGATGGATAGAATGGTTTGAATATGACAAGATATAGACTGTACAGATCTGCTGACAGAGAGTAAGACAACCCCAATCCACAAAGCAAAAAACAATTTTACAAATTAAATGAGTGAGCTTCTGAATATTTATTTGTTCTCTATTCTTCTAAAAATATATTTTAAAATATTTTTCCGACTAGACACAGATTCCCTTTCCTAGCACGAATGCCTATTTGGCCAGGAAGGAGATTAAAACTCCTCCTCCTGAGAGACAACTAACTGGGTCTTGACTGGTAGGGTCAAAAGTTCAGATTGTACAGACCTGGATTTTCCCTTTGAAGGCTGGTGTTAGGAGCCTGGTTTCAGAAATTTTTAGTGAAAGCAAATGCTTTGATCTTTTGCAATGCAGAAATAGCTTTGAATATACTGTACGTCACAAAATTGTATGCTTATTCCATAGAGATACACAGCAACATATCCTTTTCTGGAGGACTTTCACTCTATTACTTTCTCTAAAGCAAGCCTTGGGTGGTTCTCTCTCTCTCTCTCTCTCTCTCTCTCTCTCTCTCTCTCTCTCTTACTCTTCACAGAAAACTTGTCTTTTGACTGTTTCTGTGACTTTTCATTGGCCTCCAAACATCTCCCTTCCTGAGTCACAAGGCTGTGACAATGTATTTACTTTGCAACACTCTTGCTGGCATACCTGTTCTATGCATGCTTCCTTTATAACAAAGTGGTTGTTTTTCCCTTTTTAAATGCCGTTTTTGAGGATCAGTGTTTCAGCCCGTGCAGCCTGGATTCCTTCCAAACAAAATAAGCAGGGGGAGCCAATCATTCTCTTTCAGGATAATCAAGATTTGTCTTTTCAATTTATTTGTTCTGTTTTAAATCTGGGGATGTTTAAGAATCCTTGTTTCTATGTGGGGAGGTTGAATAATTTTACATTTTAAAAACCACACCTTAAAAACCCTTTCACCAACCTTCCACAAACTTGGCCCAGAGCAAGAGCAGACTGTCTGATACATCTGTGCCAAATGTGGTGCTTATCCAAAGTCCAGTTTCAAAGTTATAATTTTTTTCCCTTTGGGCTGCCCCCATTTTTGAATTGCCTTGCAGAATATTGATTTGCTCTCCCAGCAC